CGAGAGTTGAGGCTCAGGTGTGAAATGTATGGTTTTCAGGGTTTTTATCGGTTTTCAGCGTTATTTTGTTATCGTTTTTATCGTTAACTCAGTTTTCCTGGGTCTTTTCACGTGTGTTATGAATAAATCTTCTTTTTTTCGGTACCGGTACTAGTTTTATTTTGTTGTATTTATTCGCGACACCTTAAAGGCCGGTCCGTGAAAATATTGTCGGGCATAAACCGGTCCGTCGTGGCAAAAAAGGTTGGGGACCGCTGTGTTAGAACACATTTTCAGTTATTGTGCTCATGAAATAACACAATTACTACCACTAATTCTTTCAATAAAACAGCTTACAGCTAAACTTAATGTGACTTATAGACATGCAGGTATGACAACATCATGAATAATGCTATGCAAGTATCACTTGACTTTTTCATGTGTATGTAACACCATGCTGATAACAGTCTGCTGGTGTAACCACGCGTTGTTTCCTACCAACAGCTCACGTGCCCATCCTCCCATGTTTGCTGTGGGGAGTGACGACAGCAACGTAACATACGGTGGGAAGGTTCAGATCTACGAGTACAACGAAAACACACGGTGGGTATTCATTATGAGGTTTCAAGAAGAAAATAAAAGACCGATCTGAATGTTTGAAAATGTTTTGGAAAAATTCTGTAAAGATGAGATGAAAAATACTCAAAGGATAAATTCAAATGGTTTATTATTTAGATAAGTTGAAAAAATTAAGCAAGCAAGTAAATGAAGAAACAAGGCAGAGGAGAGAAAACCCCAACAATCCCCTCTGAGCAAGCACTTGGCGACAGTGGGGAGGAAAAACTGCCTTTAAACGGGCAGGAACCTCCGGCAGAACCAGGCTCAGGAGGGGACAGTCAACGGCCGGGACTGGTTGGGGGGGTTAACAGAGGTGGAGCAAGACGAGGCTACATCAGGTGAGGAAGCAGTAGCGTCTCTCCTCCGGAACAAGTGGAACCATTTTCTCTTTTTTTTCATGCACTTTTCCACGAGCGCTTTTTTCTCCAGGATGAGATTTCTCAGCTCATCGATGGTTTCTGGTTTTGTTCTTCAAGTTTCTCACATCTTTGTTCCACCTCTTCTCAATGTTGCTTGTTGTTCTTCAAGCTTGTCTTTGAGTTGTTTGGATGTTGCCTCCTGTATCAGCTTGTCCTTGTGCATGTCTGCATTTCTCTGTTGGACTCTCTTTGTGCTTGTCTTCCTAGACTGCTCGTTTCTTTTCTGGATTTCTTGGAGCGTGAGCTGCAGGTCTTCATGTATTTTGTCTTTTGTTGTTTTTGGCCTGCATTTGAGTGTTTTCACGCTTCAAGTTATTATATTCCACCAAAATCCCCTTAACGAGCTCTGAGTTGTTTCTCGCATTTTGCTCGATCCTTTTCTGCATCTGTGAGCAGCGTTTCTCCAGTTTGTCCTTTTCTTCTTCCACTTTAGTTGCTTTGTCCTCCAGCTGATTACAAAACTCTTGCAGTTTTAGATTTTTAGACTCAAAGTCTCTGGACGATACGCTTTTCCTTCTTTCAGTCTTTCTTGTTGTTGCTCTTTCTGTTGAAGAAGGTCTTTATTTTGGCGCAGTGTTTCATCCAGGCTTTCTTTCAGCATTCGGTATTTTTCCTGCATGCTCTTCAGTTCGTGCTGCATGTTCTTTGCTTTTTGTCATGCTCTTCCTTCTGTTGGAGGAATTCTTTCTTTTCTTCCACAGCTTCATGGAGCTGTCTTTGGAGGAGCCGATTTTTCGGTCCATGTATTGGAGATCCCATTGTATCTTATCAGTCATCGTTTTCTTGTCTTGGAGCTGGTTGGTCATTTCTTTTAGTTCTGCACTCTTTTGCCTGTTTTCTTTAATGAGGTGCACAATCTGCTCTCGGGTCTGAGCAAACTTGATTCCCCAGCCCTCATTAATAATTTTATGTCCGGCTGGCGCTGTTGTCTTTCTTCCAGCTCTTTATTTTGGGCTTCCATTCGTCTACACTTGTCCTCCAGTTGAAGTTTCTCTTCTTCAATTTGTTGCATTTTTTTCTGGAGAAGGTAGTTTTCCTTCCTACTCTCCTCTAACGCCCTTTGGAAGGATGAGACGCCATTTGGGGAAATTGGCCGGCCACGCCAGGAAGGAGAGGCGGCGTAATCTTTTTGAATTGGTTGTTTTTTTCTTGGAAACATGTTGGAGTTTCTATACGATGACTTTGAAGAGCTTGTGGTGAACGTTTTGTAGGCTGCAAACACAGATGCTGCTGAAACGAACTAAAACTTGCTGTTTCTCACCCCTACTTAAGGAAACAACATCAAAGGACCTAAGATTCTTAAGATCCTTGACATCATCACTCCCTAAGCCAATGAGATTGTCACAAGACATTTTGGAATGGCTCCAGAGCCGTAGGTTGCCGACCCCTGATCTAAAGGGTATAACAAAAAGGGGGAGCTTCCTGCTCGAAAATGAAATGTCCCCACTGGGCGATCGTGGCTCACGAGTTAGCCTTGTAATCGGAAGGTTGCCGATTCGAGTCCCGGCTTGGACAGTCTCGGTCGTTGTGTCCTTGGGCAAGACACTTCACCCGTTGCCTACTGGTGGTGGTCAGAGGGCCCGGTGGCGCCAGTGTCCGGCAGCCTCGCCTCTGTCAGTGCGCCCCAGGGTGGCTGTGCTGTGCTACAGCATGTAGCTTGAACCATCACCATGACATTAGTGCGTAATCGGTAGGAATGAACTGACTACGTGGTCTACAAGAATCGCCAACTTTGCGCCGTGCCTTCGTTGTTGCTAATGTGAACGCTATACAAATACACCATAGTTACATTTTCTGGGCGTGGTGCTTACACATATCTAGACAAAAAACAGATGGCATATCGCTCCTATTTTTAATTATGTCACTACAGCCCAACCTATACTCTCATAGTAATCTGATAAAGACATAATTGTGGTGTTTGTGTCTTGGTCGCAGTTCAAATATGCTGGTTAGTTGTTTTTACATCGGATGAAATCTCGTATACTTGATTTACATGCATCAATTTTTAGGCAGAAGTGCTTTGAGTCTTCAGCACTTATCATGTAGGCACGTTCTTTCACTGATCCTCACGGAAACTTGCACCATATTAAATCGAATTTTAATGTGCATCGTATTCCCTTATTTCTCTGCGGTTTTTTGAGGTTACTATCATGTTAAATGACAATCAAACAATAGAGCAAAAATTGTGTCCCAATTGGATGCACAGACAGAAATAGCATTTCACAATCTTACATGAGAGATCAGCTCTTGTCGCAATGTATAAGTTCATCTTCTGTTTAGTAATATTGCGTTTAGTTTACATGAAGCAAGGTCTTCTCTACTAAAGTTATGGTTGCATCTTGCTATTTAATACTAGTATTTTTTGAAATTTCTGATTTCCGGTTCGTTCATCCTCCAACCCTAATTATGCTGTTAATTAGTGAGTACCGTGCCCCCGTTCCTCCTAGTGATTTTGTTGATAGATTTTTCTATAAAGAGTCCAAACATTGATATCCATCGTTGCACATGGTGCGATTGGCTAACAGATAGTGAGTACTGCTTGTATTTACTGTGGTCCGATATCCCATGTATATTATAACAAGAATGTCTTTTCTTTGTTTGTCATCAGAATCATCCGGAACAATAATCCGCTTAATGCATCATGAACTGTGTGCTTTCAAATTGCTTGAATTTGACCCTGAAAATGTGTATGAACCCTGTTATTAGTATGAAAATTGAATATGATCCAAAATAAATGACAGATTTTAATATTTATCTGTTTAAAAGGAAATATGCCAAAGCAGAGACACTCATGACGGTCACTGATGCGGTTCATGACATCGCGTTTGCTCCAAACCTGGGAAGATCTTTCCACGTGCTCGCCATTGCAACAAAAGATGTTCGAATATTTAAGCTAGTTCCGATGAGGTGAGTGTTTGCACTCTGTCTTATGGAAGGCCACAATGCACAGAAACTGGTGGAGTCACACAAATACTGCACTGAAGCCCTGCATGCAGTTCCTGAGCAGATGTTCTCTTTTTAAGATAATGCAAAATAAATATTCAATTTCCTGTTTCTTGTGTGCTCCTGACAGGAAGGAGAGCACGTCCACAGGACCCACCAAATTTGAGGTGCAGATTGTGGCTCAGTTTGACAACCATAACTCCCAGGTGTGGCGTGTGAGCTGGAATATCACCAGCACCCTGCTGGCCTCCTCTGGGGATGATGGCTGTGTGCGCCTCTGGAAAGGTGAGGGGGCTCTTAACAACTGCTTGTTTGTCTTCCTTTTACTTCAGTGACAGCTTTAGTAAAAGCTGTTTAATGTGGCTGTTCAGTGAATAGTACTTTTCACTAGGCATTGAATGACTTTTGTTCACTCATAGTTGGCATTGGTCATTTCCAGAATAAAGGATTTGTTGGTTCAACTGTGTAAAGAAAGCTGACGTTTTTGCACAGGTTCTCATCAAACCACAACAACTTTTTTATTCTCTACTGTCCGAGGTGCAAATACCTACTTGTGAATACATGTTGTAATCAGGTTAACCACTGTGTCTGTTTTCAGAGTATTGATTCCAGTAATCAAGCAGACTAATACTGGCAACCATTATGTCCTCCAGTTAGGAAACCTTTGCCCTCCTACCAAGCTTCAGGCTTTGTAGCTGTGTAGCAGCAGTTGCTGCTATTAATACTAGGAATATTGATTTAGTCATAGGTTAAATTGTGCAGTTATTCAAGTCATTCCACACCAGATCATTTGGAAGTGGTCCATAAGTTTATATGAAGTTGCTTCTTGTTTGAAAAATATTGGATAGATTGGATGCTGTAGTGTCTGTAACTTTGGGCGTTACCTGGATGTTTGATCTACCTTGATCCATAGTTGGGTCTTATTCAGGTGTGTCTATATACTGGTAAATGGACTGATACTTGTATAGCATCTTTCTACTTGGTTTATAATTCAAAGTGCTTCACCAAAACACACATTCATACAGTGCTTCTATCTTTTTTTCCAACATCTGCATACACACTCACACTCCCGAGTATTCAGCCTGGTGGAGTCAGGGAACGATTATTTTATTGTTTATTTGGTTTTAAAAACCAATTTTAAAAGATCTTAACAGTTTGTTTGTGCTGTAGCAGACATTGTTTCTATACTCATAACCAAGCATCCTGACTGAGCCTACCTCTTTGTTTGTGTGATGCAGTTTGTATCAGCAGCAGGAAAAACCATAGCTTCTCTTTTCCAGGTTAAAAAATTTCATTTTGTTTTGTTACGAAATGCATGTCTTAAAAGTTGGGCTAAATAGAAGTGTCAATTTTTACAAACTCCGTGCATATAGTACATCTGTTGATACGCAAGTATAGTCACAGAGTTAGCAGTCTGTCAGCATTAAAGAATTTACCTCTGCTTTGTTCTCCACAACCTGCTCTCCTTTTCTGAGAAATATGTTTTTGAAGCTGTTAAGTGCTACCTCCGAGTCCATGTCTGTTAAATGGTGTTTGTTGCTGAGCCAGCATTACACACTGGTTTTGTGATAGTTTTTACACTGACACAGATATGGGAGGGCTTCAAAAATCTGAAAGGAATGAGCTCAAAGTGCTAAAGCTGATAAATCCCTTCACAATAAATGGTTGTGCAGTAACTGTGTTCATAGCAACAAGTAGATTATCAAATGATTTGTGTGCTTCAGCAAAATGCACTGGTCTGGAGGAACACCAGATATTCAAGTGGAGAAAAGAGCCCCACTTGAATATCCTATGACAGTGAAAAGTTCAGCTGTCAGATTCTCCTTCTCCTTTGTGTACGAAATAAATGCCGACTTTTCCTTCTGTCTCTGTGCAGCTAACTACATGGACAACTGGAAGTGCACCGGCATCTTGAAGGGAGATGGAAGCCCACTTACAGGTTCATCCGGTCAGCCCTCAGCCATGAGTACTGTGCTGGGTTCCTCTGTTCAGTCTTCCCAGAATGCGTTGAACGGGATGTCTGCAGGAAGGTAGGTGGCGTGGCACGTCTGACGCCACTCACCCAGCCCTGCTCAAGCCAGTCAGAACTGACAACTCTGGGTTTTTTTAACGCCTCACCCTGACTGGGAGTACAGCTGCTTACTGACAAGCGTGTTGGACTCGCACTGATCCCGTGCTGCACTCATGCAAAGAGCTTGGCTTCTGGTTTTCACCACACAGGTTATCTACATTGTGCCTGTGGAGCCGGATGTGTTGTGGTGGTGATTTCCTCTCAATTTATACTGATGCATGTAATATGAATGGTTCCACTTTGCACCGTGAGTGCAAGGACTAACTGTTTCTCTGCTGCATTTTTCTCTTTTAACAAGAGGGGGACAAAAGACATTTAAGTCGACCTAAGATGATTTGTTTAAATTTTTGCAAGGTCTTACTGAGGTGATGCAAAGTGAAACATGCTTTCTTCTTTTTTGGTAATGTGCTGGAAAAGCTTGAAAATTGACCTTGAATGTGCTTAAAAATTGCTTGAATTTGACCCTGAAAAATGTGTATGAACCCTGTTATTAGTGATGCACTAACCATTGAATTATGAAGACATACCAAAATAAATGACAGATTTTAATATTTATCTGTTTAAAAGGAAATATGCCAAAGCAGAGACACTCATGACGGTCACTGATGCGGTTCATGACATCGCGTTTGCTCCAAACCTGGGAAGATCTTTCCACGTGCTCGCCATTGCAACAAAAGATGTTCGAATATTTAAGCTAGTTCCGATGAGGTGAGTGTTTGCACTCTGTCTTATGGAAGGCCACAATGCACAGAAACTGGTGGAGTCACACAAATACTGCACTGAAGCCCTGCATGCAGTTCCTGAGCAGATGTTCTCTTTTTAAGATAATGCAAAATAAATATTCAATTTCCTGTTTCTTGTGTGCTCCTGACAGGAAGGAGAGCACGTCCACAGGACCCACCAAATTTGAGGTGCAGATTGTGGCTCAGTTTGACAACCATAACTCCCAGGTGTGGCGTGTGAGCTGGAATATCACCAGCACCCTGCTGGCCTCCTCTGGGGATGATGGCTGTGTGCGCCTCTGGAAAGGTGAGGGGGCTCTTAACAACTGCTTGTTTGTCTTCCTTTTACTTCAGTGACAGCTTTAGTAAAAGCTGTTTAATGTGGCTGTTCAGTGAATAGTACTTTTCACTAGGCATTGAATGACTTTTGTTCACTCATAGTTGGCATTGGTCATTTCCAGAATAAAGGATTTGTTGGTTCAACTGTGTAAAGAAAGCTGACGTTTTTGCACAGGTTCTCATCAAACCACAACAACTTTTTTATTCTCTACTGTCCGAGGTGCAAATACCTACTTGTGAATACATGTTGTAATCAGGTTAACCACTGTGTCTGTTTTCAGAGTATTGATTCCAGTAATCAAGCAGACTAATACTGGCAACCATTATGTCCTCCAGTTAGGAAACCTTTGCCCTCCTACCAAGCTTCAGGCTTTGTAGCTGTGTAGCAGCAGTTGCTGCTATTAATACTAGGAATATTGATTTAGTCATAGGTTAAATTGTGCAGTTATTCAAGTCATTCCACACCAGATCATTTGGAAGTGGTCCATAAGTTTATATGAAGTTGCTTCTTGTTTGAAAAATATTGGATAGATTGGATGCTGTAGTGTCTGTAACTTTGGGCGTTACCTGGATGTTTGATCTACCTTGATCCATAGTTGGGTCTTATTCAGGTGTGTCTATATACTGGTAAATGGACTGATACTTGTATAGCATCTTTCTACTTGGTTTATAACTCAAAGTGCTTCACCAAAACACACATTCATACAGTGCTTCTATCTTTTTTTCCAACATCTGCATACACACTCACACTCCCGAGTATTCAGCCTGGTGGAGTCAGGGAACGATTATTTTATTGTTTATTTGGTTTTAAAAACCAATTTTAAAAGATCTTAACAGTTTGTTTGTGCTGTAGCAGACATTGTTTCTATACTCATAACCAAGCATCCTGACTGAGCCTACCTCTTTGTTTGTGTGATGCAGTTTGTATCAGCAGCAGGAAAAACCATAGCTTCTCTTTTCCAGGTTAAAAAATTTCATTTTGTTTTGTTACGAAATGCATGTCTTAAAAGTTGGGCTAAATAGAAGTGTCAATTTTTACAAACTCCGTGCATATAGTACATCTGTTGATACGCAAGTATAGTCACAGAGTTAGCAGTCTGTCAGCATTAAAGAATTTACCTCTGCTTTGTTCTCCACAACCTGCTCTCCTTTTCTGAGAAATATGTTTTTGAAGCTGTTAAGTGCTACCTCCGAGTCCATGTCTGTTAAATGGTGTTTGTTGCTGAGCCAGCATTACACACTGGTTTTGTGATAGTTTTTACACTGACACAGATATGGGAGGGCTTCAAAAATCTGAAAGGAATGAGCTCAAAGTGCTAAAGCTGATAAATCCCTTCACAATAAATGGTTGTGCAGTAACTGTGTTCATAGCAACAAGTAGATTATCAAATGATTTGTGTGCTTCAGCAAAATGCACTGGTCTGGAGGAACACCAGATATTCAAGTGGAGAAAAGAGCCCCACTTGAATATCCTATGACGGTGAAAAGTTCAGCTGTCAGATTCTCCTTCTCCTTTGTATACGAAATAAATGCCGACTTTTCCTTCTCTCTGTGCAGCTAACTACATGGACAACTGGAAGTGCACCGGCATCTTGAAGGGAGATGGAAGCCCACTTACAGGTTCATCCGGTCAGCCCTCAGCCATGAGTACTGTGCTGGGTTCCTCTGTTCAGTCTTCCCAGAATGCGCTGAACGGGATGTCTGCAGGAAGGTAGGTGGCGTGGCACGTCTGACGCCACTCACCCAGCCCTGCTCAAGCCAGTCAGAACTGACAACTCTGGTTTTTTTTAACGCCTCACCCTGACTGGGAGTACAGCTGCTTACTGACAAGCGTGTTGGACTCGCACTGATCCCGTGCTGCACTCATGCAAAGAGCTTGGCTTCTGGTTTTCACCACACAGGTTATCTACATTGTGCCTGTGGAGCCGGATGTGTTGTGGTGGTGATTTCCTCTCAATTTATACTGATGCATGTAATAAGAATGGTTCCACTTTGCACCGTGAGTGCAAGGACTAACTGTTTTCTTAATATATAAAAGGAAAATAAATGTGTTTATATGAGTTTGATACGTGGCCGTTCTTTCAATTTCTAAAGCTATTTTGGGATACAGAACAGAAACATTGTGCTATTAGGTTGTATTCTGTAAATGAATTTGATCAGCTTCAGTCAAAAGTCTCAACATTTGACATCATGATTAAACTGAAGTGGAGCAGGAATTTTGTGATCATTAGGTTCTGAGCCGATAGCAAATGTCAGTCTTTTTACTGTTTTTGTTATTTATTCCTCCCATTAGTTCTGCCTGGTCTTTTTAACCAACACAAAATGAATATCAGCTGCTGATGTTGATAAGTACCATCTTATATTAACAGACATGCTGATATCACCTGATACAGGCATTTGGCCAATATATGAATGCATCCTGAATACTTTCTCCTTATTTTTCTCTTTTGGATTTGAATGTATCCTTGAACAAGTAGTGCCAAACTCTTTGCTGAGCAGAAAGGACAGCTTGAATGAGCCGTATTAACAGAGTGTAAACACACACACACACACAGAACGAGTGTGAATACAGCCACTGCGAGCCTTGAATGGAGTGATAACACATTCCTCTTTTTATACAAATGAAATGTATCCACACCTGTTATTACTTCCTATTGAAACCATATTTGGTCTGCTGGCTCAGCAGCTGTTCTTGTTTTTAGCCTTCATTGTTCCCCCCTCATTCGCACATGAAGCACCAGGAAAATTTGAACGATAAATAAATTGTGTCTAAGCTCAGAGTGTGGCTGTATTTATGTTCAACTCCACCATAACCTCAGACCTAACAAAAATTTGTACGTACGTGTTTTTGACTCAACTTGTGATTCCCCTCTAACCCGAGTAACACAATATCTGTGTATTGTAAGCCAATTAACTCAGTTCAGTTGAATTTAGGCGTTTGCAGAGCAGCGTGTGGAGTTTTTCATGTATCAGAAACAAGTGTGAAGTGAGCTTTGTTTGAAGTAATGTGCTGTTGTACTGCTTATTGCATGCAGGATTGGCAAGAGAGCTCCCTTTGCTCCTCCCCTGCGGCAGCTGACCTCTCCAAAGATATACCAGCCACCCGCATATTACTAATGTGTCTTGTGCATCAGCTCCCACTTGCCCATATTTAAAATGTAAGACTCTGTAACACATTTCACAAATGGATTCTGGGTATTACTGATTGAAACTTTAATTTTTGGCAACAAATCTGGCATGAACCTTGCAAAACATTGATTCCTTTCTTTTTGTGCTTAAACCTTTTTTTTTTTTTCTTTTTTTTTAAATGTCACTGTCTTCCCTCTTACCTTTTTAGTGTCTGGACCAAACATGCATCCTTCTCCTTTTAATTTCTCTTTTTTTGCTTCCTTTTATTTCTTCACCCTCTGTGTATTCCCTTTGTTGTCTTTTCTTTCCGTCCACGTATTTGCCGTCTTTGTCTCCTCCTCCTTCTTTTTCTTACTTCAGGTATTTCTTTCCTCCTCTGGACCCCCCTAGAGCGGGTATTGTGTATGGTCATCTGCTGCCTCCTTCCTCCCTAATAGAGCACTGTGATACTGAGCCCATTCAGCCTCAGCAGCAGCCTCTTCCCCACAGGCTGTCCTCCAGGGCACTGCTGCCCTTACCAGAAGCTGAAGGGCAATGATTTTTTTTTTCTCTTCCCCTGTGTGTTTTAGTTACATAAGACAGGGTATCATTTTTGAAATAGTTTTGGATGAAAAAGAAAATTTCCTTTCATTTCTAATAAAGATTTTTTTTTTCACTTTTCTAAAGGTTTATGTTTTTTTTCCCTCTGCATATTATTAAAGAAAACCTTTGGAAGATCTAATGCGTTGGTACAGAGAGTCATTTAAATAATGTATATGGTATTGTGTGAATAATAAACTCAGCATTTTTAAACTAAGCTGATTTTTTTGTTGTTGTTGGGAGGGGGGCGCGCAATCATCGGGTATGGTTGGCTGGTAAATTGGAAAACTTCTGTCAGTTGTGTCTGAAAGGGGGACATGTTTGTCTTTCTGCTTATGGAAGTCTATAATTAGAATGGGTGGAAGTAAGACTCAGAAATAAATGATATAAAGGGGGTGTTATTTTTGACTGCTTCTCCTTTACAATCAAAGAAGAAGAAAGGCATAGTCATTCCACATGATTGACTGGAAATAATATGATGGTCATCTTGGGCCAGGAAGTTTAAAAAAAATCTTTTTAAAAGCTCTTGAATCTATGTTTGTCCTAGCCATTTATAAAACTTGGTGATACCTGGTAGCTCTTGGACACTGATGTGTTTCTTTAGGGCCTAACCATTAGTTGCATATTGTGTTATACAACTTTTTCCTTTTTAGTGTGAACAGCTGTCTTTTGGCTGTGCTATACATTTCCTTGGCGTTATTTGTGAAGAATCACATGTCAGCAAGGGGCTATTCTCCTGCCAATGTCGCTCCAAAATTAGGCAAAACTGACAATATATGCCATTAGTATTTTCACAGAGGGTTAACATTGACAGGGAGGACAACATTTCATATCGTGGCACTCCTAATAAACGGAACGCATGGGATGTGGGATGACAACTCTTTCAGCAGTCAGCTGTTTGCGACCCTCGGTACTCTTGCAGCTGTTTGGCAGGACATACGATACAAGAAAACCCTCACTTGGCCATTAACGACTTGTGTGACACGCTTTGCTTAATAACTGGGCGCTAATTCATAATAAATATAACAACCTATCAACTATTGCAGATAATTTAGTGGTATACGTATTATCAGATAAGTTGTGGCTGGAGTTCAAAAGAGCACATTCCGTCTTTAATTCATCTGAGGACAAGAGCTTTACTGATAAATGAATGAGCACTTTTCTTAACCGCCCCAAGCATACAGTCATTGGCCCCAAGCTGCCAAATCCATTGGAATGACATAAATAGTAACCAATCATCATTGGCAATTTCCTCCCTCATAGGTTTTCTGTCCAATCCGCGTCGTCTAAAATTGATTAAGTCCCGCCTTTGTGATATGACGCTCACGCGGGCTTCCTGTGGCTTCTGGGCGCTGTTTGGTCCTACGAACTATTGTACGGTTTGTTTGATATGTCAGATTTTAAGTAATAATGATGAGTTATTTCGAAGTTACATTTGGCTACACTTGGTATCGCATTTGAACCGTTTATAAGGACAAAGTTCGAGTTGGAGAAAAACTATTTATCCCTGGGCCCGCTTACTTCTGGAGTGTTGAATGTGAGTTGAAGTCCGACAAACGTTTATAATTGAATTCCCTTGCTGAAGTATAACAGTCTAAGAAGAAATAATTAGCGAGCAGGTGAAGCTTGATCACTTATATGTGCTGTCTGCAAAATGTCTTCTTACACACTCTAACTTAAAGAACCAAAAACATTGGGGTAGCTTAAATTTGCAACGTGCTGGCGAGTTCCACAGACCCTTTTGTTTTTAGCAAGTAGCCTGTTAGCTTAGAAGTTAGCCCACCTAGTGTAGTTGGCTAGTTAAGTTCTCTTAATTTGTTTATTCAATAAACTTGAACCGTATTCCTGCGAAACAACATGTATGATGACGTTCCCCAAAGAAAATACTTAAGTCAATAGTTTTCACGATTGAAAGGTGGTATTAAGAAGCTGATGTTTGCTAAATAAGCACACGAATGGGCACAAGATGTGTTTTACCTGGTCCTTTATTGCTACCGTTCATTTTTCTAGATATTACAGATGGTCATCACCTGAACGGAACCTAAGCCACATTTGGCACTCACCCTGCTCCCTTCAAAAGCAATGGCAGACAGTTTTTACAAACTGGAAGATGAACCCTTCCCAAGTTTCCTCTGCAAGTCTCTGGACAGCGCCAGTGGCCGCCCCACACTGGGAAATGTGACATTAGGTTCAGGCCCAGGACTGCCGGTGGCTGCCTCTACTGTGGCTAAAATTAGACGCGAATCTGACAACAGGTGGGAGTATGCTGTTGGCTTTGGGCTGATGTGACTTGTTTTAGAAATGCTCTGAGGCTAAAAATAGATCTCAGGTTCTTTGTTTGCAATACAAGGATGGCAGTATTTCAAAAATGCCTGCTAAAAAACAAACAAACAACTGTGTATATTTGTTAATGAAAAGCAGCTCTTTGTGGTCTCTGACATGTTTAACAAAGTTTATAGGTAATATATTAATTCTGGGTGAGCATATAGGTGCTAAATGTAATTAAGGGTGCTGATAATTATTTACAGTTGATTTTTGTGTTAACAAGCTGCTTTTTGCACTATTTGCTCATTTTATAGAGACGATCCCATTGAGGTTTCATACCTGGATGGAAGAGTGCTGCAGCATTCTGGTCTACAGTCATCTGAAGTAGAACAGCCCAAGTTTGCCCTCAGCTTCAAAGATGACATGTGAGTATAGAAATACATGTAGTTCACGCTGCTCATTGTTGCCTGTAAAATCTCTGTTTAAAAAAAACAAACAAAAAACTGTAGTGTGTAATACTGCAGCCAACTTCCAATTGTTGGATCAATAGTCAGGATAGATGTTTTGTAGTTTGAAGGATGAGAAACCAAATACTGAAATGTAGTAACTCTAATCTTTAGTGTCGATTTTACTTGAGGTGTGTACCGTTGTCATCTCTTTGAAAATAAATGCCTTTTTAAAAAAAAAAAAAAAAAAGTTTCAAATGCAGTGAAGTGGATACACAGCTGTTGTTGTTAGTATGAATTTAATGTTTTACTCACACACACACACACACACACACACACACACACACACACACACACACACAGTATAAACCTGACTAATAGATAAGTAATTACTTTAACTCTCCTTTGGTGTGTTTTACTAATGTGTTCTGAATTTTTTACATCCCTGTCATTGTTACAGGGATAATGCAGATGACTTCATTGCAGCCCATCGTCTTTCAGACAAGCTTCTGAAGATTAATCTGGATGAGAGTGCATCCAGAAATCAAGGCTCCATGCTGGGCCTTGCTACTACACAGGCAGGCTCAGTATGTGGCCATCCCACAGAACTTGGAACAGGTAAATTCTTGTGCCCCTGGCTCTATTGACTTTTTCAGGCACACGTTAAGTAATATTTCTGGCTTCATCAGTCTATTTAAGTGACTCCGTTCTCCATTCAGATTTAGCACACAATTTAAAAGTGAGCTATGTACTACTTGAATGTGTACTATGGTTCTTTCTGTTGCTGTTGTGGTAATGCAAAGAACCATGGCACACGTGAGTTACGGCCCTTAAATGTAGTTAATAACTTGAGTGTTGCTTGTTCTTATAAATCAACCGCTTCATACTGATCTGTTATGTAAGAGTGTTTGCCTAAAGTTGTTTTGTTTTTTGTTTGCTTGAGGCTTTTGGGGGGCAATGTGTACATGCTCATTTGATCCACCTGTACGAAAGTGTTACTGATGAACTTTGTGTCTCTTCTAACAGATCTGTCAACAGGGCTTCTGACATTTGCTCATTTTGGACATAAAGATGTCACAGACAAAAAGGTACCACCTTTCCATACATGCTGATCAGTTTCCTGTTGATTTATATCTGTGTGATGTGTCATGAGACTGCTGTCCAAAGATTTGGACTATTTCTTTCCCTACTCATTTTCTGTGTTCTATATTTTCTGTCGTGATGTGCAAAAATACAGAGTTTGACTCGCTGTTTAAAATCCACCATTTCACTTCTTCTAAACTTTTGAATGTCTTGATATCTAGCTCTTTCTACAATGCAGTATTTTTGTTACAAGTTTTTTAAATCAAACTCACCTTTTTTATTTGCTCACAAAATTTCTGTAAAGTTGCTTTCATTGCATTCCTCTGTTGTTCAGTCCATACAGGTTCAGGCCTTACCATCTAGAGTTGAAAACAACCAGATACTGAGGGAAGGAGTGGGCAGTGACCATTTTAGTGACAGCAACTCAAGCTTCCTGGCCAATGAGAAGCTCATGTCTGTGGATAGTATGAATAGCGACCTAACAGGTAAGTCAGACCTTTAAGTCCTTAGAGTCACGCTTTGTACATCGTTCCTATTTCAGTTGGATGAATTTAACACCGAGCAGGGGTGATATTTGTGATTCAGTCACACACATACTTGGTGTTTGGTCACCAGATGATGACATTGATGTAAACAACCTGCCTGATGATGAGCTGGAGCTGTACTTCAATAAGCTGGTCCCTCCTGCTATGCAGAGAGGCAGAGTGGAGGGCCAGGAGATTCCTGCAACTGTAAGGCTCTTTCTGCTCTACTTTGCTGACTTTACTGACTTATACATTTTACTAGCACCACTTTTAAAAGAATGCAAGCTAAAATCTTTGTTTCAGAGTTCTCGCTAACACAGTATATCTTTCATAGGGAGTGCCAGGTGCTGCTGATGTCCTGTCCAACCCAAGTTCTACAGAGCCTGAACAGTACAGAGATCAATTCCTTGATCAGTCTGATCAGGTGAGCATGTTGATACATTGCTTTGTGACTGTGTACTGATTTCAGCTCAGGCAGAGAATGGTAACTTGTGTTTGAAACTACAGGTCAGTTTAGACAGCTGACCCCAAAAATAAGGGTTTAGCAAGAACCTCGTTTGCTTGACTTTTGGTTTGCTTGTACTTTTCTTAATCATATTTGGGCCAG